AGCCGATCAAGTCAGCGTGCAACCCGCTTACTCCAGTATCCTGTCAACAGGCCATTTCAGTCAGGCTCGAGTGTGCGCATTGTTCAGGAATTTCTCTCATCTCAGGCCGCTTCCATTTTTTTGGCCTGCGGCTGCGTGTTCGTACTTTGTACGAGTTACAGTTCCGGCTCTCCCGAGCCTGCCGGGAGCGAATCAACCAACGAGCTCAGCGCGAGCACCAATGCTAGGCGGGACGCTCAGACAGCCAACGGTCCCTCCAGCCCCTCTCAGCACTTCTCCGGAGCTCGAGCTGACCAAGCAGACGCCGCGCCAGCGAAACTCCACGAGATCTCGCGTCCAGATAGGCCGACATTGCGCAACCTAGCATCTCGTCCTTCCCCAGGACCCGAGTGCATTACCGTTATGCAGCGGCGTCGAGACAGCCGTTTCCCTTTTTAAAACCAGTAGCGGGGGGAGCGGCTATCATCACGAAAGGTGCACAGCGAGGTTCGCATTCTTACCGGACCTACGGTTTGGACGTTCACGCTGATGCGTTGAGCTCAGTCTAAGAACCTAGACCCCAAGGACTAATCCCGCACAGCGACTGCCGAACACTGACTTTCCTCTCGTCCCTACGATATTGTACGTCTCGCAAGGGATAATTGCTCAAGGTGGTCAGCTATGCGGCTGAGTCATGTCTACACCCCTTGGCTGCATAAAAAGCTCCTGGCTGTGGCAATCATTAGCCAGCTCGGTGATCACACTCATCATGACAAACTGTTCCCAAGAACAACACTGCCTCAACTCGCATGTACAGTGGGGTACATCTGTCCTTCGTAGCATGCTCTTCTCCTTGCGGCCACTGCAATCGTCCGTGATTTCTTGACGTACTCTCGAACCGCAGTCTGATTCGACGATGATTCTACACTGGGGCCATTCGTTCCTCTCGGTGCCATACCGCTAACACGACCTCGAACGGCGAATACATTTTACACAGTGATACTTCGTAAAGGAGGCTAATCGTTGACGAACCTGCTGTCTCGTTTTGTGTAAAAACAAGTGCTGTATCATGTCTCGACGCACCTCCATTGTGGCGTGGGTCGGCCCGCTTCGCATACAAGCCTGTTGCCATGGAGTCTGCGCAGTAAACAATGGCTAAAGGCCAGTGAGTGTGAGACTGTAGCCAGAAGATTCGTAGCTAGAGAAGCTATTGGAATACCCAACTTATTACTTTACGGTGACCCTGATCAGATGTACTGTTAAAGAGATTTCTCTTGTCCGACTCGCGAGTAGAAGAGTTGTTTCGCAACGAAGTTCCAACGAAGCAAGCCTCCATGCCAAACCATGCAGTTTTCATTTGAGTCGTCCTCGCAAACATCCAAGTCGAGCCTCACAAGAAGTTGGGGCCCAAGGATCGAGATGCTGTGTTACACGGAGACCGTTGTTCCAATTCAGACGGAGTATTGGGTCTTTTGGGCAACGAGACTCTCTGTTGGCTGCGCAAAGTCGAAGGTGTCGCAAACGAGCTGTCGCAGCCGTGACAATGTCGAGTAGCGTTGAAAAGATAGAAATTTCACACATCGTCCGAAAGCGATGCCAGCTGATTGACATGCAAGCAAACACGTCGACAGGACAGATCCAACCTCGTGCAGAAGATTGTACTAGCGTGGCACATGAGAAGTGGTCGATGATAGAAGCACCCTTCAACCACAACACATCCAAGTACTGCGGGTATAACAGAGCCCGAGAAGTAAACCTGAAGCGTGGTCCAACTGCTCTGACATGCATTAGGGATTCACAGATTTCCGACCGTCTTATGCTATGTCGGCTTGGATACCTCCTCCTCTCTACGGAGTACATCCCCGCAGAAAACAGATTCCAGAGGAATTGCATGAAAATGTCGCTGTGGGGTACAAATTGCGCGTGGAATCACGGAATATAGCTGGGGCTTCACGTCAGAGAGCAGCTGCGCCGAGAAAGGTGTTCTTCTCCGGCGCTCCGTCGTTCATTCTCACGGGTACCCAGTATTTCGTACGATTATGGTTGTGGAAATCTCCTAATCAATTACAAGGTATCCTTGCCCATGCTGGAAGCGCTCTCGGCACCGAAACGTGTCTTCAATTTCTCTGCCAAGGACAAACCGCTCAGGGCACAAAATGATCTGCAGGAGGGATATCGTAGCTTTGTGGAGCGCCGAGCCACCAGGGCCTGTGAAGATTAGCAGCCGCTGTGCGTTCAGGGAATGTTCCCTGACATCTCAAATTGCCATTTGGCGCCCAGTTCTTTTTTAGGCGCACTAGCCACAGCAACCTCCGAGCCAGCCGGATAAGACTATCTCGCTTGTTGATACCCTTGATGCGGAGGGCGCCAATCCCGAGATGATCTTCAAGCGACTCAACACCCGCCCTGTTTGGGCAGAAAGGTGCCGACTCTCTGTTTCAGTGAAATGGGAGTCGAGGTTCTTATGGTATATGTCGGGGGAATCGCTTGGTAGAATTTCCAGTCGCTGCTACAAGAGACTGAACATCAGGCTTCTCGAACTCATGTGCGGCCTTCATTTTTGCTCGCGACTCGATATCGTGTCGGATCTTGGAAGCCCCGAGGCTCCATTTCCCACGCATCAAAGCGGACGCGAGCTCCACCGCTACGCATCAATGATGATATCAGTCAGCCTTTTTTGGAATGTGCCCATCAGCGTATCCACAGAAGAGCATGACGCGAGTGGCCCAATGGCGTTATCAATTCCGCTAGTTTGCAAATTATGGCAGAAGTGCTTGTTCCTGGATGTCACTCGTGTCTGAAAGTGCAAGCGAAGAAAGTGGTGCATGTGGTAGCCGGCATGTGGCGAACGAACATCGGTAGAATCCAGCCGCTGTATTCTGCCGTCGAGATCGTCAACGCAGGTCGAGAAGACAGATGAAACAACAGGCTGCAGACCGGAAATAAACTGCTTGGAGGCGAACCACAGTTACCATGCATGCAAGTCTCAGACTGGCGGGTTGTGCAACCAGGGGGTCTGAGACCCACTTCGTATGCGCGTGTTCGCATCTTGTTGACGACGAGGAAAACATCGCCGCCCTTGCCCAAGCCACGTCTTGATCTGGTTCTCGTCGCTTCTTCGGCCTGGACAGCTCTGGAGAGCGCGAGGCCTCTGATTACTGGGGCAAGGCGTACGGAGTAGACAGGTATCAGGTTGCACTGGACACGGAGTTATGATACCGCACGAGGAAGGTCGCTGTCGCGAGACTTGTCAAAGGACCGTCGGCCGGGAGATAGATCGTTGATCGTTCTGGATTAGTTCTGTAGCCGATATCAGTCTCCATACTCCGTACTCCGTCTAAGCTAGCGAAATACCATCTTTGCAGGAGTACTGGGTACCTCGTAGTGATGGATCTGGTCGTGCAGCTTTGCGCCGGAAGAAGCGGAAGTGGATACGTGGGTACAAAACGGCCACGACAGAAAGGTGTGGCGGTGACAGACAGTTGGCTAGCAAAAGTCGTTTCCGGTAAGACTTGTGCAATATCTGGGTAGCGAGACTACACCATGGCGACCATCTACGTGGCCTGCATCACCAAACAAGGCACGAGAGGGCCACGGGCTTCTTCCGTCTCCGGCCGACTGGGTTGGCCCTGATCAGGCCATAGCGGCGTCCATGAGAGAAAAACTCCCGTGCCGAGTCGGTTCTGTTCGAGAAGGCTTGTGAGAAGGAACAGGAACGTGCGGATATAGCGTCCCTGAGGGTACCTGGTAGGTTTAGAGAGATTCCCCGCGCCGTCTCGAGTTTTAGGCAACGCAGTAATGGTCTCCCAAAATTTTATGCAGGCCCGACTCCATTGTGATATCCGTGCTTGGTCAGGCGCAATTACGGGAAGATGCGGTGGTGATGATGGGGAGCTTTGCACCAACTGGGACACAAGCCGTTGGGTTATGAGCTGAGTCTTTGCTTAGCCTGTCTATAGCTTGCCAGCAGCAAGAACTCCAAAGCTTTGATTGGCAGTGGTGGCAATAGTAGTTGAGCGGTACTCCGTGCGACCGGCTTCTTTATTGTGAAATCGGCGTGGGCGGGCTCGAATGATCCGCCGGAGTCCTAGACCAAGCGAGCCAGCACGACGAGTTAAGCAGCGCTGTGCCTGAATGGCGTCTCACAAGTGGTTCAGCTGGGGACGGGGCCACCTGAGGAGCGTCTTTGGATCATTTTTCAGCGGGTTCCTGGCCTATCGTTGGGGCCGTTTCGAATTGCACATCACCTAACGCACTCTACTCTGCCCATCGCCCGCTAAACGGATCCCCTGCACGCAAGTCCGAGTCTCCCTTTCAATCACAGCCATCCTGCTTTTGCTGCACCGCGACCATCGACACCGTCACTCGCTCCCTCACCAACACCTCACCTCTCTGCTGTACCACTAACTCTTGGCCTTCTTTCAACAACGTTCTTTTATTTCAGCTCGAGCATCACAGCATGCACATCTGATGGCATCGCCCCTGAAGCGACAGTGATTCTCCCCTGTCCTCGGCCCAGAAACGACGCCTGCAGCTTTCGCTGGTGTTGAAACATCCCTCACCACCGTCACCCTCAATTAAATCTCCTACCGCATCTACTTCACTTCAACGTCCCTCGTTCCGACTCGATGTCGCCGTCGATCTAATCGCCGACCGCTTCTCTTATCACTCGCTCATCTGTACCACGACACACCGGATTAAAAGTTGCTGTTTGTATTGAAAATACGATCATTCTGTTTGGAAAGGCAGTACATATAATTCCACCAGCTTCAGTCGCGACCACCTCGCACAACTGGGACGTGCCTTCTCAGGCCGCCTGGGCCTAATATTTTTGAACCAGTCTCCTCAGTGCCCTGAGACGCAATGGCACCTTCTCCGCCGCGACTACGGATCCTTTCAGGTGAGCATCACATTTGCCTCCCCTGCCCTTCCCTGCGCCCAGCAGCTACCAGCGGACCACGATTCGGTTTCTGCTCTCTCCCTTCTTTGTCTCCTTCTCTTTGCCGCCGAACCCACCGGAGATGAATCGGGAGCTAAGACGGTGCTGCATAGTGGGTGGGAATGCAGTTTCTGCCTTCCTGTCATGGCGACTGCAGGCCACCAACGCTTGCGACGTGACCCTGGTCTGGAAAGCCAACTACCAGACCGTCGCCCAATATGGTGTCTCGTTCAAGTGAGTGACAGGACTTCCCGCACCCTGCAGCGCGCCGCTGACTTGTCCAGGTCTCAACTCTATGGAAACGAACGATTTAAACCTAGATTTGGTATGTTGCACAAATCCTGCTCGAAGAACGTAACTGACTCCTTGACAGTTGTCCAGAGCCCCGAAGACGCCGCAAGCCAGCAAGCCGCCTTTGACTACGTGCTCCTCTGTGTTAAAGCCCTTCCCGACGTCTACAATCTCGCCGACATAATACAATCGGTCGTCACTCCCCAGCATACGTGTATCCTCGTCAATACCACAAACACATTGGGGGTAGAGAAACAGCTCGAGGATCGATTCCCGACGAATGTCGTCCTTTCTCTTGTCTCCGGCGCCGATCTGACGCAGCTTGGGTCGAGCGAGTTTGAGCACAGCGGGTCTACAGAAATCTGGGTCGGCCCGGCAAGCAAGAATTCTGCGATACCAGAGTCGATTCAAAGGGACATGTCAGAAGCCCTAGCCATGACTCTGACAACGGCTCAGGTCGACTGCAAAGTGTCTTCGAATATCAAACAACAGCAGTTTGAGAGGATGATTGGGTTCGCACCACCTCCGCAACACCGTGCAAGTTCAGAGAAGCTAACATCTACCCAGGCCCATTGCCTTCCATCCGGCAAGCGTCCTCTTCGAGACTCCTGTCCTAGCAGACCTGATTCGGTTACCCGGCGTCCAAGAGCTCATATCAGATGTTGTTGCCGAGTTGATTGAAATCGCTGGCGGACAAGACTGCACATTCCCGAGCGATTTTAAAGACACTACAATTCAGTCTATGCTCAGGTCCTCGAGTCAAGACCCCAGCACGATGTACCAGGATTTTACCGCAAGGCGCCCAATGGAAGTCGAGACCTACCTGGGCTCCCCGTTGGAACTGGCGAAGGCTGCAGGCCTCAAAGCCCCCCGGCTCGCGACCCTGTATGCCATGCTACGACACGTCAATACCGTCAACAAAGACCGCCCTCTCGCCTCATCAGCTCCGGCAGGCATGCCACAATCTCCATCAACCATGCAACCACCCCCACGAACCATGTCCCTTGCGAATCCTCCTCCGCCTCGACAAACAAACGGGTTTTCCAATGGCGCTCCCAGGCCCTTGCGTGGACCACCCATGGGCCATCCAATGGGTCCGCCAGGCAGACGCGGACCGCCTCCCGTCAATGGCTTCCGCGGACCACCAAACAGCTACCCACCTCGGGGGCCTAGCCAAATGCAGCGCCGACCGTCGTATGATGAAACCAACCTGGACGAATTCAGTCACGTAGTACTTTACGATGAACTGCCAGACGGTGATGTGGCTGCGAATCTACCAGAAAATGGAGGTGTTCCTCCGGCCGCGCTTCGGGAGCGAGAACTCATGCTACGGGAGAAGGAGCTCCAGTTGAGGCAGCAAGATATGGCAATGAGAAATCGTGGTGGCAGCGTTGGTGGTAGGAGGCCTCCACCCAATCGGCATCAAGACTTCGATGATGACGATGATGACGACGATTACTTTGATCCGATGCAATCCCGGGGACCTCCTATGCCGCCGATTGACCCTGACAACTTTGACATGATGAGCGTCACGTCCAGGCGGACCAAGCGGGCGACTAGCCAGAACCAGCTTCGAAAAGACGCCTTTGGGAACGGGGGTGGCATGCGGCCGGGCTCCTATGGACGCCCCAATCTCAGCAGGCATCGAACCAGCGCTCAGCTCCTGTCTGATATGCCTATGCTAGGGGAGAATATTCTGAACAATCCAATGATGGGATTTTCCTCCAATCGGTATGGCTCGGTAGATCGCAAAGAGATGGCGGATGAGTCGCGTGCCAATTCCCTGACAGCCAGCCGTCTGCAGGAACTGGGTGGGATCAATGGAGGGCCGTACCCTGGTCCGCCTAGTAGACGGACAAGTCGCTCGCCTGGCAATCCGTTCGGGCCAGCCGGACGGGTACCGAATCGGCCATCGCCACCAAACGATCCCTACGTGCAGTCGGGGCCCCGCCCTAACGGCAGACCCTCGCCACCAGGAGGGATGCCAGCGCCGGTGCCAAGGTATCCTCCGAGTCAAGCTAACATGATGCCTACGCATCAGATGGAACAGGCTGGGGTGAGCAAACCCTTCCCACCACCAAAACCGCCGGTCAAGAGTCTGACTGGGAGTGCCAGTGCTAGCGCCGGGAGTGGTGACAGCGGCAGCGCCAACATCGATTCGGAGCCATCGGCTCATAGCAGTACAAGCAGCTTCGCGCCTCGACAAATGCTGAGCATGCGGTAGCGACACGCAAGCGCACGTCCTGACCCCGCGGCACCGGTCCGTCGAGTTTGCAGCACGCTGGCGAACAACACGACGAGCACTCGGCGTTCCCGCACAGTATCGGATATACGATTGGGTTCTTGCCCTATTCCACATATATTTTAATGACTGGTTCAGAATTCTTACGACGAGATGGGCAGCGACTGTCCGTCACTTCAGCAAAAAGTATCCGAGACGACTCGTTGAAGGCTGGCACACGGTTGAACGGAGATGTTGAAACATTCGACTTTTGCTCTTTCAGTACATACCGCATTGCAGGAGAAAGGGCTTCTTCTTTGCACATGAAATGCTGCGCCACCAAAGTGGCGCGATCGCTGAGGCATGGAAAGGGACGGAAGGCCACGTCGTGGCTTGTCGTGTCTCTCCCTTGTGCTTAGGTTGGAGAGGAATTTTTGTATTGCATACATTGGGAAGATACACTTTTCAGGCACGAACACGATGGGACCGAAAATGAATAATCAACTATGCTAGATTTCTGCTTCTCAGATCAGGAGCCGGACGGGTGAGGTGGAGGCAGACAACAAGACGTTGCCGTGGAATGGCAACGAGGGCAGCAGTGGCGGCAAGCCGGTAATCATGAGAGGCAAGCCCAGATTGGCGGAGCGACCCATAGTGAAGTGACAATCACTCTGTACATCAAGCAGTGTCTCGTGCCTCGCTACCTTGAGCGACTGCATACATGGAGTTGACCTGAACCGCGTTTCTAATGTCCGATATGAGTCGTTACTGGTGACTGCAGAGTCTGAATAGTCGACTGCTACAACGTATTTGAGGTGACCTTCTGCATACGTGAGCTGCACAGGTTGGGCGCAGGAAACTCAGGCAATCGGACGATTCGCCGCAACTGCTGTCACCCAACACGTATCGCACAGAGTATCAGCTCGGCAGTATGATGGTGTCGGTGCGACAGTGGCTGGTGTTTCACGGATCCGAGACCGCAGACGATCACTGCCACATACTCTAGGATGCGACAGGGGAGACCACGTGCATCGAGACCCTGCGGTGCGGCGACTGACGTTGATGGCAGCGACGCAGGGTTCTGGGACAGCATACGGGGTACGAGGTACTGTAGCATGCCGTGTTCCACGTGGTTTTGGCATACCGCCACCCAAATGCATGCCTCAGCACCCCATGCCGGGTTCGTGGTCTGTGTAACTCGTACCGGGTTCAGCTTGTGTCAGTCGTCGACGTGAGGACCGGTCCACACCAAGGCTTGAGCGACTGAACCCTTGAAAGTGATCCCAAAGTTCACTGAGTGGTCCACGACTGGATGAAACTGCGATGCTGCGCTCTCTCACACCCTCCGACGCCTACAACTGCCCGCCGCGACCGCGTGTACTGTCAAGTGCTCATATCACCCTCCAGACTACCGCGCACATCTGTCTTTTCACCGGTCTCCCGAGTTCTGCCCGGTCTCTCTCGACGCTACCTCTATCTCCCGCTCAAAGGGAGCCTGTGTTGCACGATGTCGACGCCGGTGCTTCGAGTCGACACTTTCCAAGGTGACGCGGCGCAGACACTGCCGTATCATGTGCGAATAATTGCCGTGAGCCTGCTTGCTATGTTCGAGACCACATCACCGGTCCAGGCTCCAGTCATACGCCGAGTCCAGGCATAACACAACCGGGTGCCATTGGGCCGTCTTATTACGTGCTCGGCGGAAGCAATGGGCTTCCACTGCATACAAGACCTTATCAGGACGGTACGCATTCCGTAGCGATCATATCCAGTATATCCCTCCCCTGTGCCGGCGTACGCGAGCGTGGCTGCGAGCGCCCACTACCGCAACGGGCAACGTTTACCTTCTCTTTTGGGCCATGGCTGGGCTCAAGTGAGAGAAGTTTGCACTCCATTCGAAGCCTCGTGGGTTCGGCTCAAGATCCCGCACTTTCAAGCGCCGTCTCCTGTGCCAATGTTACCAAAGTGACTACTCAGGTGACTAAGCGATGCAAGGACCACTGCAGCATCGTCCTCGTCAGTCCGGCCCTGCAGCTCGTCTTTCACGTCCAGGGCTACGAGGTATGATTGGACTGCTCGGCGAAGGGCGGCGTTGCCCAAAGAGAGCGAGGTTTGTTTCTTGGTCTCGATCATCTGATGTTTGACAGCAAAGGTTGTCCCGACCATGGAGGCACTGACTGTATGGAGACGCATCCAGAATCCTATTGTGGAAACTCTCCACCCTTTGTCAACATGGGAACCCGGCGGCTCGCTAGCAAAGATATATTCTTGCGCATTCGGTTCACCTCCAGATCCTTGGCTGCCGTCTGCAACCAGCACGATGGACTGTCACAATCCCCTTCAGATCGAGACATACGACTCTTGGCCCGTCTTCCCTTGTGAGTTAGACCACAACCACCTGAGTGGCAATGCGGATCCTGTCTTGGGCCGCATCAACGATCCGCGCAGCGGCACCTCGAACCGGCTCACATATGAAGACCTTGGGCTTTTCGACCCGGACACAATGGAGACGATTCTGATGGGTGTGGTAATTTCCCTATTTTCCTCTACCAGCAACTCGCCAGGCTGATGCTCGCTTCGCAGGTCGAGTCACATCACGAGAAGAGCAATCCAACAAGTCTTGCCGCCTGCCCTGATAGTATGAACACAACGGTGACTCGACCACCGCTTGCAAAGATAGGAATCAAGGCCCCCTCTGATCATGGACCGCCTTTGCCGGAGATGGTGGGGGACATTTCAGGAGAAGTATGCCGACGGCATGTCGTCCACCGATCCCATCAATTAACAATCCCTCCAGCGTCGGCGGGCTCAAAACCGTGCTGCTCAACGCGCACACCGGGATCGCCAGAAACGCTATGTCGCTCAACTCGAGAAGAGATTCTTCGCCCTCCAGGCAAACTACATCCATTTGGACGAAAGGTACAAGACCGTGCAGAAGGAGTACGAGGCCTTGGTCAGCTTTGTGCGATCTCAACCGACACCGACAGAATCGCCCCTTCTGGGGACAGTCGCTGAACCTACCCTGACTTTTTCCTTCCCCGACCTGCAACGGCGTAGCGAGTTCTCATTGTGCGAGCAAGAGCTCGATCGTGTTGCTGGCACTTCGATTTGACGAAAGTCCTTGGCCAAAACTGCGAGCCCCTTGAACGAGCAGTGACGCCGCATTCGGGCGGCCTCGGCCTGCTCGACTACAGCAGGCACACGCCTGTCGAGGCGCGGCGATTGTCCACACGGCGCATCCACTACCTCAGAGGGCGCTTGTTCGGAAGTAGTCCTTGATCCTCCAACAGACAGCTCTAGACCAGTCGCAGACCCAAAGGCGTCTTTCAAGCTAAGATCTGTGGCGTGGTATCGAAGTCCTTCTGATGTCCGGCCTGACATCCGAGCCGTGAATGCGTGAAGATCACCACACATGGGAACGTGCGTCACCCCACTAATCACCAGGAAGTCAGACGATGCGGGCTACGGGCTTGACACTACGCCGAGTCCAACATGTTACTCCCTGTGGGAGGATCTCGAGAGACCCGCGACGCCTCGTCAGCTCATCCCACGAAAGAACACATTGGGCATACGAAGAAGGCAAATGTGAGAGCTGTGACTGCGCCCCACGCCACCAGCCATAGTGGTGAGAGGGATGAATCTACCGAGACGTCTTGAGGTCTTGAAAATTAGTGGGCAGGATGGTCCTTGGCGGGCTCGACTATCACACACCACACCTTCCTCCCACGACATACTACAGACAGGAAATGCTCGCACGATGCACGATCTTGGGTGTGTGCACGGACATAGTGTAATGCGGCTCCTGGCCAAGTCGGCCCTGTGAACCTTTACCAGTGTCTGGGGTGTCTCCTGCCAGACGAATATACCGAGGATCTCGACGTCGGTCCTCCGTGACGGAAAGGCAAACGGGAGACGACAAGGACCGTAATTCGAAAAGGTTACAGTGTAGTAGTCCACCGTGGGAGATCGGGGCAGCCATTGCTACGAGTACACAGCCTGGGTACGCCTCACGCGTTCGACCAAGTGTGGAGTGGATTGAAGGGGAGTGGAGGGGAGTGGAGTGAAGCAGACTAGAGTGTCCACGCAGGCATGGGACTGCACAGCACAGCACAGTACAGTATGGCAGTACCTGTACATAGGTTGCTATACCCACGGCATAGTGAATGCGAAGGTGATGACAGAGAAGAAGAAGGCAACCAGTTAAAGGATCGAGTGTACGGTGTGGTAAGTATAAACTATACGGAGTACTGTTCTATATACACCACCAATGTAGTCGTCATCTACTTAATATCTCTATCCGTCTATTTCATTATCTATATATTAGTTGTCTATCTGTCTATTTGTCTATCTATCTATCTGTCTGTCTGTCTGTCTGTCTCTGTATTTGTTCATCCGTCAGTCCATCCCCTGACGAGCCCTTTTCTAGCTAATATAAGTACAGTAGTTACGTTATTCATTACTATCAGGACTCAGTCCCTCCATTAGTCGCTTGGTTGCTCCTGGTCAGCCGCTGCTGCTGCTGCTGCTGCTGCGCCTGTGTACATGTGCGTACCTTATAAAGGACGCGGGATATAGTACAGTACAGTTAGAAGTACAGCTAGCACCTTTACCTTTTCGCTTCTTACCTCTCGCTTCTCGCTCCTCACTTCTCGCTCCTCGCTCCTCACTTCTCGCTCCTCGCTCCTCACTTCTCGCTCCTCGCTCCTCACTTCTCGCTCCTCGCTCCTCACCTCTCACTCCTGGTGTATATATATCTCAATGTCGAGGAATTACGGCGTACGGCGTATAGCTATTCTCTTTCCCCTGCCAAAGCTGAAATCACTGGCTCAGAGCATCGTCCATGCTAGCTAGGTACAGAGTGCGCCGGTTGATGTTTCTGATCAAGTCATGTCCAAGTCCAGCTCTAGGTCCAGGTCCAGCGTCGTGGCGAGGACTACCTAGGTAATTCATAAATGCAAATGTGTCTGTATCAATCGTAATGTGGGCGGTAATCTCAGCGATCACCATCGGCCACCAATCTCTGCGATAGTACAGTTTCAGCACCAATCTCTGCAATAGTACATTCCATTGTCGTGTGGTATAGGATACCTTATAGGAATATAGTGATGGTACATCATGTCTAGCTGGCGTACTGCGTAAGAACCGGGTCATGTCATCCAGCATTGGTCTACGATAAGGATTTTCTCCTTTCTTTCGTTTCTTCTTCGCTCAACGTTCACTCCCGCCCGACCTGATACCCAATCCGGGCGAGTTGCAATATAGTGAATCTTTTCCCTAAAGTCCAGCTTGATTTTGGATGCTCTCATCATCGAACGCCTGCCTTACTTATCCCCGCCTCATGAACCCACCCAACCCCACCTGACTTTGCATACTCAGTAGACTATCCGCGCGTTGAAAGACGTCTCCTTTGAAAAAACTATCTCCGTACGCCGAGGCCGGCGTACTCGGAATCATTGTCGCTGTCGTGGGCGTGGGCAATGCGGAGGAGAAGAAGGATGCAGTGGTCGGTGTAGGCACGGCTGATGAACTGCCTCCAGCGGCGTTGGTGGTAGGTAGTGTAGCCTGAGCAGCCGGGCCAAGTGCCGCGGAGAGGGGCGTTGCTGGGAGCGGAACGGACACGGGGCTGATCCCGTTGACGCCTGCACCGCTGGCAACGGTTGTGGACGACGCAGAAGGGATGACCATACCGTTGAGCATTTTTGTCGCTGTGCTGAGTGCGTTCCCACTAGCCGGCCCGGGCACCGGTGGGACAGGGACAAGCGGTGGCGGGAACGGGCTCTGAAGGGGATAGTTCGAGATCGTGGAGGCTGCCGAATGGGGCGGATAGACCGGGACATTACCGATGTTCGAGCCGTTGACGCCATTATATCCATTGCCGGTCACCACGCCGCTTGGTGGTTGATTCGAGTTCGATGCGCCAAAGACACTCGGCGGCGGCATTGCTGCAGCCGCACTGTCCGTCAAATACCTCCACGGACTCGTCTCTATCATGCGCCCTGCCTCACGGCTGGCCTTCTGCACAGGCCTGAGCATGGTGATCAGCTCCTGCGACAGGAGTCTCAAGGACTTGGCCATTCGCATTTCCGTCAAAAGCTCGATAAAGCTCATGAGGAAATTCTTGCATAACAGCCACAGCGAAGGATCATTCCGGCCACTGCCCGTAGCAGCTGCACTAGAACTGGGATCCTTGAGACGCATGTTGACCAGTCTAATCTGTAGGGCTTCGCTGACGTTGATGCACAATTTGCAGCGATAGACTAGGGTCGACCAGAGATCGTGCACCGCCTTGGGCTGCCGATTCTCCTCGGCTGCCTCGAGACAGCGCAGGAACTGTGCTTTGGCGACGGGTATAGTACGTAAAGCGGCATCATACGCCCTCGTTAGAGCGAGGAAAATCTGTTCGAAAATGGCTTCCTCTTGCGAGTCAGTCAGACCGGTAGAGGGATTCACCCGCGGGATATAGGAATTTGCAGGCGACAGACTGAATACTTCGGCCGATCGAGGAGTGCTCGCCACAGAAGACGAATCCAGTCCGTTGATCATGCCTGCGGTCCGCGAACTCGATCGTGATCTTAGCCCAGAACTTGAGCCTGAGTTCAGGGTGCCACTGTTGGAAAAGGTCGACGACGTGCCAGTCAGAGCCCCTCCGTTCAAAGTAGTCCCAGTCAAGTGAATCGGCGTCGGAAGTGCAGGTTGCACAGGATTCGGCTGAGAAGCCGGGTTGTTGTCAACCACTGGATGTTGAATGGCCGTGTCACTCCGCAATCTCCCGGCTTGTCTGGAAGTCAAGTGTCTGTCTCGGGACGGAGTCACAGAAGATCTCACCGGCTGCGAAGGAGTGGAATACTCCTCGGGGATTGTCTGGATGGGATGCGCATTTCCACTTGACATCTGTCTTCTATGACCGAGACCTTGTGTGACTCTGACCTCTGCCCCGAAGCTCTCAATCGCGTTTCTGACTTCAATCATGCTCCCGTACAGTAGAAGCATGAGCGTCCGGACGTAGCGAGCATCGGTCCCGGCGACGATTTTCTTGACGTTATCTTGCAGCTGTGCGGTTACGTGGGTATAGGCCATGATACAAGTAGCACAATCTCTGCGCACCGTGTCCTCAATCTTCGCAACTGCATCTTGATCTGCAGTGTCCAGTATGTCGGCTTGTTCGAGAGCTTCATTGAGTCGGTCGACATGGGTCGACGCATTGAAAAAGGTAAATTCCAGCGTGCTCCTCCGTACATCCTTGCCTCGGATGGCGGCAATGAGACCGGAGATTTGTGGGTGGATCTGGTACAGGGCATACAGGATCCCTTTGGCACCTTCGATGACCGGGTTGTTCCATTCGGGCTCGACCTTGTGCTCAGGGAGACTTGACAGTCGTTTCACAAACGCGAGCCTATGTCTTCTAGGATCGCGCGGACTGCTGGGACTCGACGAGCCATTCCCACCCGGGGAAGACAATGCGCCGTTCTTTTTCAGAACAGAGCCGTGACTGAATCCTCGGAGGTGACTGTTTCGATTGACCTTGAGTTCATCAATACTGTCCAAATCCGGCTTTTCCTTTCGGAGCATGCCCATCCTTTTCTGTCGAGCGGCAGCAGATGCTTGCAAGACGCTCTCGCTGTTGCTTCGATTTCTTTCGTTATTCTGACTAATCAAAGGACCTATCCCCGGCCGTCGAAGCGCGATGTTTTGTGCCCCAGACGCCATGCGGAAGTGCGATCGTGTGGGTACAGGCGGTGGGTTGGCAATCGTCTGGATCGGCGATGACTTGTTGCCTTCGGATGGAGGCTCGACACTGTTAGTGCTGGGTATGACAGGAAATCTACTGCTCAGAGATCTTTTGAGAGGCTTCGGTGTCGTCTCCATGGGACTCTCATCGACTTGCAGAGAAGCCTCGACATCAACGGGTGTGATGACGGGATGCGCTTCTCTGAGATAGCGTTTGATCTCGCGCGTGATGGCCGTCTCCCGCTCGTGGTCTGTCATTTCCGAGAATGATACTTCGGATTCCTTCGCTTCCACAATCTTCTTCAACTTGAAGCGTAAGGGATTCTCGGCGATCTTCAATATCTGGAGTTTGGTCATTTCGCATAGCTCGGTCGGCAAATCCTC